TTGTTTATGCAGGATTTGTTTTGTTTGTTTATGTATCACTTTTTGTGAACTCAATATTTTGTTTTTATTTTCGACATTTTTGCTCTACGAATGCGGATTTGTTGGTCACATGATCAGTTGATTATGGCCATTGGTGGTAAGCTGTTGTTTTTGCTGCTGCGTCATCGCTATTATTTATTGTTAAGTGCCAACAATACTTGATTTACGTTAAAGACTGGTTGGCCTCTTGGCTACAGGGCTTCACAAGGCATGTGCCGTATACATTAATATACCACACACACAGACGCACAGATCTGTGTGAATAGTATACTGTATTTAAAAATTTGCCAATTAATTGCAATTGGAATATAACGACAAAGTCGCGTGATTGCGCCAATATTCATTTAAGTCTTTGCGTTTACTTTTTGGCTTAGTTTTGCTTTGTTAGATTGAAAGAATACATTTTAATTGAAAAAGTCAGTGTCCGATTTGAGTGGTGCAATTTGTTGCGCTTAGAACTCAATATGAAGTTTGATATTTAACTGCTTGAAGTGTGTTCAGTTCGAGCTCACGCATTTGTTGTACATACTTATGCATGTGACTATGTATATATCTGCGCTAAACTTTACCTAAGCACGATAAAAATGATATCCACTAATTTCAACCAAATTTGTTGCATGACATCATTTTAACATTCGTAGGTACGCTGTGAAAATGGGCGAAATCGGACGCATAATTTCCGTATATAAATTTTTTAAATTCTATATGAATCTTTCAGTTTACAGAATATAAATCAAGTATCAATAAAGTTATGGGAATAAAACCTTAAACAAATTGTGCCTCTGAGGTATACCATCTCACATCCAAATATAGTCGAAATCGGCCCATACCTTTTCAAGTCCGCAGATACCAAACATGTTGACCTCAGTACATATAGCTGATTTTTTACCGAAAATATTGGTAAAACTCTGAGGTATTTCATTAAAATTGTGAAAGTGAGCATACGATCTATAATATACAGAAGTAAATAAGATACCAAATTTGAGTCAAATCCATTAGGATCGAATAAGGAATGCTGAATTCTTACGCATTCATTATTCGAACACATTTTTTTAATAAAGATAACATAAAATGTTCGGTTACATTCGAATTTTGCTTTTTGTTTTATTTGTGTTGTTAAATTTTTGCAATCTTAATAAAAATTGTTGTTCAAAGGATCTGTTTACCAAGTCTTATGAACCTTGGTTTCAGTGACCTTAAAATTGTGTTAGATTGTAGCATATTAGGGCTAACAGTATCCTTGGAAAGTTACCCAAAAACTGCCTTTCTGTCTTAACTGTCCTTCGGACATTCAAATATATTTGTGTGTCAATGGTGCTTGTCCTCAACGCTGCTGTTTTGTTTTCTAAATTTAAGTTTAGGATTTAAGTTTTTATATCTTAAAACAAAGGATTTGAAAAACCATTCCAATATATAATTAAATAATTTCAGAATTACTTTATAATATAATTGAGTGCTTCACAGTTATATCTATACCAAAAATCTTTCATATACCATACAATGAATCTTAGTAGATTTGCGAAAGCTTGTTTTTGGTTTTTGTTACATATATCCGAGGTGTTCTCTTTATTTTTGGAAATAAGAAAAAGTCACACGGATACACGTCTGACGAATATGAACATTGACGAGTTCAGAAACAAATTCTTTGATCCATTTCTTTTAACAAAAGAAAATCGCCAAGCTAATAAAAACACGTCTAACCTTAACGACTGCTAAAGACAATTGGACTCTCCAAATCCGCAAAATTTTAATTTTAAAATTTCCATTATTGTTTGTGGACCTCGTTTATTTTCATGAGTTCATCACTCTCGACATAAAAACTTTTAATTTCCGTTTTCGTGGTTTATGTGACGTTTGTTGTATGTATTTGCCGCATGTAGAGCTGCGATGAAAACCACAAATATTTATGTGTACAAGTATATACGTGTGTATGGATATGTAGAATGAATAAATACAGGCATCATTAACTGATAAAATAGTCTCACGCCCGTATAAAGTTACAAATTATAGCGTACGATATTATAATATTCAAGTAAGAGTGAAAACTATGCACAAATCAAATCATTTGCAATTTTCTATTCATAATAGATATAAAAATATCTGCGAAAATACTCAAATGAAAAACAGGTTTGACAAATCTATGGTTTGCAAATTCTGTAATTTTCTTAAATTTGTACATCTTCTTCGATGCCTGAAGATACACATATACAATACCATCCCTAAAAAATATGGTTAAGTAAAATTACAATATTTTGATGTTCATATTAAGATAGTTATAAACAAAACGTAGATTATTATTCCTTCCTCAAACCTGATAAGCCAAATCATTTGATTTTTTCGCAAATGTACATATATTGGTTAGTGCTAGCAATATCTCAATAAGGCTTGGTCAAAATTTTATCTTTTTCTTAATGTGATTCGAAGAGTAGTGTAGAAGTAGTAATAATATTTGTCATTAAGTTTGTATATTTACACTCCAACAACAACCTACATCTTCATTTTTATTATGAAAACAAATTTTGTGTGACATTGTGTGCATAAACCTAGAGCCTTCTAAAAATGACTGGAAGCCATCTAGAGATGTATAAGGCTTATAAAAATTTTAAAAAGGAGGAAATAACGGAACCCTTAACAACAGCGGCGGAAAACTTTCATGTATATTGTAAATAAAAGTACATAAATATTTCTTAATAAGTTTGCAACCTATCTGTGGATTTGAATCAGCCTATCAGCTGATTGGCCTAAGGTCTTCCTGGTTTTAATCGTAAATGCTTTTTCGTTACAAAGTTGTAATAAAATAGTTCCATAAGCAAACATACAAAAATAGGCGCACTCATCATAGTCATTAGAAATCAAACAACAGCAGCATAAGTTTCAAGAAGAATCACAAGCAATGCAGCAAGAACAGTTAGCGCCGAAGTCATGTGTTCAAATGACTGGCGTTTAAGGTGAACTCGTAAGAGCTTTGTTTGGTTATTTCTTTTTGCTTTATTATACTCTTGCAACCTGTTGCTATAGAGTATAATAGTTTTGTTCACCTAACGGTTGTTTGTATCACCTAAAACTAATATTAGATATAGGGTTATATATATATGAATGATCAGGATGAAGAGATGAGTTAAAATACGGGTGACTGTCTATCCGTCCATCCGCGCAAGCTGTATCTAGAGTAAAAATTGAGATATCTTTATAAAACTTGGTACAAATATTTCTTGGTACGGATGGGCGTGGCAGAGCCCAAAAAACGCCATTAATCAAATAAATATAAATTGCCATAACTAAACTCCACAATAAGATACAAGACTGTTATTTGGTATACAGTGTCACATTTGGCAGGGGCATCTGTAGTTAAAATTTTAAACCGCAAGAGCTATAAGAACAACATTCAGTGAGAACAAATGTTTTTAGCACCTCTATCGACAGTGTGAAAATGACTGAAGTCGGGTGACAAACCGCCCACTCCCCATATAACAGTATTGTTAAAAACTACTAAAAGCGCGATAAATCAAGCAATAAGCATGCCAGAGACATTAAATTTTATCTCTAGGATGGTATGAGATGCCTTAATAGGAACCGCGTTCAAAATTAGAGAGTGGCCGTGGTACCGCACATAGCATAACATTCTTCTCATATTTCTATTAGAGTGCGAAAATGGGCGAAATCAGATTACAACCACGCCTATTTCCCATATAACACCATTTTAAATTCCATCTGATTCTTTCACTTTCCACATTTCAAGCAAAATATATAAAGATATCTCAAACGAGTATACCGTCTGACTTTGCGAGAGTATAAAATGTTCGGTTACATCCGAATTTAGCCCTTCCTTACATGCTTTTCTTTTGTTTTCCTTATCAGAGATGTTATTGTGCATACTTATGTATCTTAATTTGTATTGTTATGTTATGAGCGCATCTTCATTTGTGGTGTTTATTATTTGAGTCGTTTCTTAGTGCTGGGCACCTGTTGGCGTTGGAAGGCCGGCGCATTCGCAGCCGTTCACAGTTGCACTACACGTATTGATGTGCGCATCTCCTCTTTGAGGCTGCTTGTTGTCTAGACACTCGGAATCATAAATGTGTCACATATTGATGATGTGAATCAAGGTAATCTATGAACTTATTATATTACATATAGAACGAGTATGAGAATCTGCCTTCATATCAGATTCGTTGATTGTGGAGAAAATTGCTGTTGCAATCAATTTTCAAGCAATGAAACTTAAATCAATTAATCTCGAAGAACCCTACGTTAGGTGGCTACTTTTTAAACTTCTACATTTCTTCTTCCAACTTCTCCTACATCAAAATAAGTTCGTATTGTTGCCTCATTTGAAAGGTAAGCTAGCAAAAATGAACTCTATAGAATTCTCCAGTTTATTAGTTTTTTTTTAACCACTAAATTTTTAAGGATAAAAATTGTAATTTTCCAAAATTTATAACATTCAGTAGGCCATTTGCCACCGTATTTGCAATTTCAAACGATAGCTCATAGGTAATAAGTACAATGTACAAGAAATATATATTTTCTCCACTACCTGATAAGTAGCTCCTAGTAAACGGTAGACATAAATAAAACCACGTATGAACGTAAGTATGTATGTTTAAAATGAATATAACGATGATGAGCAACCGGCAAACTCACCACACGCACTCAAAACTGTACTATCGACTAAGGAAATACAACCACTGCTTGCTACGCGATTAGTTCGTGGGGAAAAATATACTCAAGTGCTCGTGACACAAGCGCAGCTGCGTAGACACTACACTACATACGACGAACTGTGAGTTCAGATGACATTAGTGTGCCTAATGAATAGCGTTACGGTCTGTGGTAGCTGTTTACTACTACCAGTCGTATTACATTACCCAAAAAAAGCTTTTTCAGCCAAAGCTTTGAAGACGCTGACGCCAATTGACGAAGAATGCGTCAACTCAGGGCGGCGGCGCTGGTGGCAGTTGTTAGTGGCTTGGTTTTTTTCCCGGACACTTGGCCAAACCATTCAGTCGTTCGTTGGCCATACGCCAATGCGGTGTTTTTAACTGCTAACGGTACTTTAAAAAGAAGAAAAGTGAAGCTTATCAAGAAATGAACTTAAACGAATATCGAAGTTTTTGTAAATTTCAAGCGTCTGCGAAAACGAAAGAACAGCAAAAAATGCGCACAAGTACAAAAGAATTGTTGTTTTGAAAACGAGGTTTCTACTTGGTTCGGTGTACGAATTTAATCAGGAAAGAAAGAAAAGTTGAAACCAGAAAGTAACAATTGAATGAAAGTTTATTGACACAACAGCGCCAAATTTACTGAGATTTCGGAAGTAAGAAAAGTACTCGTACAAACAATAATATCCATGTGGTGCTATAATTACTATATTTACTTTGGCAATTTTGTGGCTTAAGTGATTTTGCACTTATTGGCTGACATCGCAGTAGCGAAACACTTAATTGTTGAATTTGACAAATTGATCGTGCGGTATCCGAGAACTCCACGGTGTGCATATTGTTGATGACAAATTGTGGGTAGTTCTAAGGTCATAACTAAAGACTTTTGCAACATACTTATTGTGCCGCGAACATTTCGGTGAAGCACTAAATTTAAATAGAAATACTAAAGGTGATTTTAAATTGTATAAATAAATAATCGATATTTACTGTTGTTGCCATATTTGGATTAAAGGATTAAAGTTGTTACGGGCCATTTCTGTATTGCCAACAATAAAGCGAGCGGGCACTGCACATAATATTCTTGCTGTCATTCTGAAGTTTAATAAAATGATTTTGAGGTGAGTTTTGAGGCGATAACAAAAAAAAATATTGGTTTATATTTAATTATTAATCTAATTTTCCAAATAAGACTTTAAAATGTCGGTGTCAGTTGACACTGGTGAAAACTAAAAAAAAAGGTATTTAATTATTTATATATTATTATTTGGTTTACACTTTTCTACCAGCTGAATGACGACTTCTTTGAGTGACGTATTTACACCTATTCTCTGTTCCCTATTTGGTGGCATGCCGAGGTTTTTGTTTAAATACCATGTACGTGCTTTCTTCATGAATTTTTATCATAATTTATGGAAAATATTCTATGGGACAAATAAGCTTCAGATTTCCAATGTGTTGCGCATTTTGTATTCAGGTTAAATGCGTGGTTTATGTTTAATGCATGGAAGTAGTGAAATGGTTGAAGATGGTTTATCTAAAAACATAAATTGAAAAGTAGTGAAGCGAGTAGTTATTGAAGATTTCTTTATTTTCAAAGATATCCAAAATTAAAAAAAAAAAAAACAATAGAATAAATAATAGTTTTTGTTCGAATATGGAATTCGTAGAAATGTAGACAATGCTTGATATTTGTTTTAACAATTTTCCTTGACAAAACTTTTTTTTGATATTTCAATAAAAAAAAAGAATTGACTTTTGTTATCCTAATGATTTGCTACATAGAAATAAAGTTGAATAAAAATTTGTTTTTGTATTTATCTTATTTCCTTCTTAAGTAATTGGGATCAGTGCTATTCATGTGTGTAACATAATTATTTGCAGAGCCTTAAATGCATGATAAGTTAAAGGCGCATGTGCTTAAATAGGGAGTAGGTCAGATAGACCTAACCAAATATCGAAACAAAGGGTTAAGGTATACATATACCTCACTTTTAAAATATCCGCTGCAAAGCATTAACTTATTTCATGCATAACAAGTAGGCTGAAAAGTTCGAATTTTCAAGAAAGATATTTTAAATCACTAACAAAAATAGTGTTTCTTTAAAATACAAAATTCGTTTTATAAATTCTGTCCATTGAAAATGATATATCTCAAGAGCCAATAAAAGCCCATACATTTATAATGAAAATATATTTATACTAAAGATCAAAATTTTATTGAAATTTTTATTTAAGTTACGATATGAGTTAAGTTCTGTTTGTTCGTTCACTCCTGCAAACGTTAATTCACTAACAAACAAAAAATAGCGGTTTATTTCACAGCTATCTTTGCTATAACATAAGAAATTGGACATTTTCTCATTCACCATATCAACCTAAAAATATTAGAGGTTAAAATTATTTTTTCGTGATTTGTTGTAAATTTATGTAACTTTGAATGTCTATTTTGATCGAATTATTTAATGTTCAATCCATAATAATGTATTTTCCAAACTTGGTCCTTAGCTTGGTTTTCGCACATTTCTCTTCTGGTGATTTTCACCTTTGGAAAGGCGGTTGCGCCGTTCAAAAGACTTAAGACACAAACTTGCAGTAAATAAATAGTTGTAAACGATGGAGTTTGAGCTATTTTGCGTGCATTCAACTATGGCATGGAACTTCACTTTATAAGCTCTTGTATATATAATAGACAGCAAAAGAATTTATAGGGCCACGTGGCCAGGTGCTGTGTTAACAAAAGAAGCTACGGAACTATGTACGTATTTTAATTACGAAACTCTTTTGGGAGTATTTATCAATTATGGCATTATTTCTGCCAGCAAGTATAATCAGATCATTACTTAATTAAAACAAAAATATGGAGAATTACGCCGTTAGCGGCTATGTGATTTGAGTATCCAATATTTCAAAAGTGCACATGATATTTTAACTAAAGCCATTCTTAATTACTTAAATTGAGTTCTCAACGATCCTCGGTAATGCTGCATTCACGTTGACTTTGACTTATTTTCATTCAACAATGTATTGCTCGGCACTCTAGCGTCTGGTCATGAATGTTAATTGTGCAGAGTTGGTACACTTCTACAATATTTAGATGCTGCCTCTTTTCTTCAGTGACGCTGGGACAATCTCCGTGCCAACAACTCATAAATATTATTTTGGGCTTCACTTAGTGGCCAAAGTTCGCGTTGTCTCAAGAATTCCTACATTCACGCTTTAACAAATGATGCTATGAGTCTAATATCCATAGAGAAAAACCGATGAATGTGAGGGGAAGAAATGAGAGTTGAAGTGACGACTTACCGCTATTGTGTTTGCATAAATTATTGTTATGCTCTTACTAATTGCAGTAGAATTTCAAATATATGTGAAGTCTTTTTGTGTATAGTAGGTGTTATTTGTGAAGTAACGGTACAATAATAAAAACTTAAAAAAATACAAGTACATACATATGCCTATTCCGGAAAAAAAAATGTACTGTATGAACTCTACAGTAATAAATGCACAACCCTGGGAAAAAGTAGTTTTGTTTTATGAAGTTTCTTACCCGATTTCATATGATTTTCACACGCTGAATCCAAATCTGTAGGCAGTTTTTGTGTAGAAGATTTAGTTTTTAAAATATGAACATATTACATTTTTAGCCAAAAATACAACAATTTTAGAATTAAAAAATGTATTGCTCTTACTTAACATGAAAAAAACTTTTTTTTATGTGCTTTTCTTGCATGACTAGAAATATCAGTCTTCTGGTATTGACGCATATCAGCCGATTATATTATATATATTTTATTCTCAAAGTAGTCCAAGTAGGCTTTTTTTATAGAATCAGACGTATTTAAACGGCATTCTCTAAGCAAATAGTTACCAAAAACAGCTCAAAAGCTATTCGGATCATTTACATAAGTTCTTCTTAATGTAGACATAGCGGTTTATTTATGAAATTAGTAATTTTTTGCCCTAAAAATTAATTCAATTAAACCGAGTAACGATATTTCAATAAGTACCCGCATCACTGAAACTAGAGCTGCTAGAACGAAACTGAGGGTAGATTCGAAATCACCGACGTCAAATTAGAAAGAACCAGTTTAGAAACTTTATAAAACTAAAAAGATTAATTTTGTTTACCAGTGTAATCTGTGTTTGAAGGTCATTGATGTTAAAGAACTATTTGCTGTGCTTATCGTTTTGTAACAATATAGTATGCTTATAACACTTCAGTGGCTAAATTATGAAAGAAATTTTTGCTAAAAAAATAGATTTTGGAGATTTATTTGATAGACTTTTTTTAATGTGGCGTTTACAATTTTTCACAACTTTTAATTTGCAGTCTATTTGTTTATTAGACTTTTACTTTGAGCATAATTATTTCCCCTTACATGCTTCACAGAGCATAATAGCTTTGTGAAACCAAGGGTTTCTTGAAACAGATTTTACCAAAAATTAACACTCGATTTTTGGTTACCTTTTTTAAATGCTTACTAATAATTTCCAATATAAATAGTTTTATTGTTTTCTAATCAGAAAATTTCATTTCGTTAATTTGCCATTGGTTTACTAATTCTTATCACAGTTATATAGGCTTAAATCAAGTGTATAGGTATTTATTGTATATGTAATAATAAGCAGCTAACACATCAGCACTGATGATCGGCACATTACACACCAATATACTTTAAGCATGAGTTTGACATTGGCTAAAACATGACGTTGATACTTCTAAAGTTTGATATAATATTTTTGTACTCAAATCAGTAGTTCGAAAAATGTACTTGATATGTATAAAAAAAATCAAAAGCTGCATATTTTATTTGAATTTAATATAAATTTCTAAATATTTATCAAATATTGCCTAAAATTATGTTGCAGTCAATATTTTTCGGATAGTTTTACATTTTCGGATCAGTGGAAATAATTAAAGTTGTTTGAAATCTAAACCAAGATAAAACATTTTCGGATTTCGCTATTATGGCTATCGTTCTAGCGACACGGTGTAAGATTTAAATACTATTTAATCCTAAGTTTTTGATCCCGTAAAATATTCGTGCAAACTTTGTATACTCTAAACAGGATATATATTTAGTTTTCCACGATATTTTAGCTGAGTCGATTTAGCCATGTCCGTCTATCTGTATGTCTGCATATACGCGAAGTCCCTTAGTTTGGAAGATATCGAAAATTGACACACCACCTTTTCTGTACAAGAAGCTGCTCATTTGTTGAAATCGCCGATCGGAATCGAAATGGAAAACTTTTTCGTTTGACAAGATATCTCCACGAAATTTGGCCCGTATTGCACTATCCAAAGAAATTGTTCTGTTCGGATCAATATAGCATCATATAGCAAGTCCTTGTGTGAAAATCTTTTGTATTTGACGATATATATTTACGAAATTCGGTAAATATTATTTTCTAATACAACGCTACAATACCTGAAGAATCTCTCTAGATCGGACTATTATATCTTATGGTTGGCATACAAACTGAACGGTCGGAATCAAGTCTTTGTATGGAAACTTCGTGATTTTTGGAGGGTATTCCAGCTTAGGTGCAACCGAAGTTAACGTTTTTTCTTGTTTTATTGTTGCATAGTCTATGAAATAAAACTCGCATAGCTTGATTTCACTGAGACAAAGCCAGCATTTCTGGTTTGTACTCTCACTTATTTCACTCTCGACGAGACATCTGAATGCACTTTCATTGCTCCAATTCGTAATCAAGTGTATGAGCAACAACAATAAAACGGCACTAAACCCGTTTGCAAACAACGGAAGTGTGTGCAAATCGTTGCACTTTCCTGCATAATCAAGTAAATACAAATCTACATACATTAAGCATAGACGTTTGTATGTACTATGTATGAAAACATATAAATATTTGAATATTAGTTCACAACAACATCAAGCTGCTTAATGCTCCTAACTGTAGTTTTAGCCTTGACCCAAATTCTAAATTATTTAATCCATTTCGCCTTACAACAGTAACAACAAGGGTTCAAAAACTGAGTGTTGTTTACTATTTTTTCTAAAAATTCACCTGGTTGCCGGCAACGCATTCATCTCTTGCAGACTAGACACAATTCCTCCGCTAGTCGCCGATCGTCAGTAGTTAAACTTCT